CACCGTCCCGCTCGCGCCATTCGAGGATGGCGTACACCGGGGGGCGGCCAAGTCATCGAGGAAACGAACGGCGGCCTGACGGAGTGAAGTTCGTCCGCCGAAGGTGCTACAAAAGAAACACTGATCTATCCGTACTTTCTGAAAATTCAGCAATAAAAAGAAGTCATCGAAGGTGAAAGAGACCACCGCGGGCGCACACCAGTCCAGGCCTGGTCAGTTTACTTCCCGGTCAAGTGTCAGAACGAGACAGGTTTGGATCGTTTGCGGAAGAAGGAGACATGCTGCACACGAGACAGACTTTTGAAAACTAATCGCGCTGCCAAAGTGGCAAGAAGTAAACGCCATCGCTTGCATCGAATCAGACAGCACCAGAGCGTTAAACACTGCTCTCGACCTACTGGAATGGCATTTAAGGCCGCACCGACTGTTCATATCAAGTCAAGACAGCTACGCCACCGAGAATAGCACCAACACCAAACACTAAACAACAACGACACCAGCTACACAACAGATTGGCCGACTCCAAAAGCAGGCTCCTGGCTCACCGTCGCAAGAAGCGGTGCGGCGACAGCACCAACACCAAATACAGCAGCAGCAATAAGAACAACATTCACACAACGCCACTGGTTGGCCTACTCATTAGTACCAGGCTCGTGGCTCACCATCTCAAGCAGGGGCGCGGCGACAGAACCAACCCCAAATACACCAACAGCAAGGACATCCACAACCACAACAAAAACGCCACTTGGTTGGCCTTCCCAACAGTACCAGGCTCTTGGGCTCACCATCTCAAGCAGCGGCGCGGCGATGTCTCTCTCGATCGTGCGGTGCGTGCCTTCCCTAGAGAACTGGAAAGAAAACTTGTAGAACTCACGGAACTCCTCCCCCTCCATGAAGCCCAGGTCGAACGATGGAAGCTGCTCCTTCAACTGGTGTAAGTTTCGTTGGGTCGGAGTGTTAGAATTGCCTTGTCATTCGCCCTCAACCGTCAAACTTTCTCGGTTGGTTGTCGAGTTGGACCATGAACCACATACCAGCACAATCCGTGCCGCGTGGACTCCCCCCCCCTCGACGTACCGTTGCGGCACTTCCAAGTATAGCTGTGTCTGCCGAGCATGAAACGTTTGGTTCGCCGGGATGCCCAACGAACCCATGGCGTATCTGGGTTGGTACAGCAAACGCAAGGATGTTGAACAGCTTCTACGTCATCCTTGTGAAACGTAACCTGAGCTTGCGAAAACCCGGTATACCGCTCCGTCCCGCCCTTGAAGGGATGCGAGGTGAATGTGTTAACGGCTACGGCGTGCGTTTACATGACTACACCCCATCCCCTCTTCGTACCTTGTCGATAGAGTCGGCGCCCAGCATCTCCATACCCTCCAACCACTCCGGTCCCATCACGTGCCCCGGTTTGGCCTTCGCGCCTAGTTTCCAGCAGAGGACGAGGATGCTCACGTCCGTGGCTGCGTCTATGCCGATGTCTTCCCCGAGCTGGCATATGCCAGACATATCTATCGCTTCCCCTGTAGATGCGGCGGGGGGTACGTAGAGAAGCCTCAGTTGCGTCGACAGGTAGAATACTCCAAGGAGAATACTTCAAGGACCAGAGGTAAGCCATCCGCAATGGATCGGTAATTCAGTCACCCTCAAAGGCCGGACAGATATGGAAGTGGAACACTAACGTCGCACCGCACGATCTCAGCAAGAGAGAGACAGGGTGGGGTCGGGGGGGGGGGGGGGGGGGGCTTGGTAACATGTGGGTACGCAGATGCGGATTGAAGGAGGGCGCAGGGGAGACCCGAGGAAGCTTGGGCTTGGTGGCTTTTCTTCAAGGCACGCCCGCGCACTAAGCACTTGCAGAGGTCTTTGCGTGCGTGCTTTGATACCACTTGATCGTCCGCCTAACAACAATGGGAAGAGTACGCCTGATTTTCGAAGGAAAAATCATCTGCGCAGGTCAAATCTGCGCCTTTCATGCGTATGGTACAAACTAGGTGCTTTGGCAAGGTGATGGTGGCTCCGCAACCGCAACAAGTCCACACCACTTCGAACACGAAGATATCGCTTGTATTAAAGCTTGATGGTACTGCACCTTTGCTCTGACAAGGAGGGGCACCGTGTCTCACCTTGGTCCCGTCGAGGGGGTCGACGCAAAAGAAGTGCGTGTACTCCTTGCGCTCTTCGAACGGCTTGAGCTTGTTCTCCTCAGACACTCTGCGCATCGTTGTTTTCCACGTCGTTTTTTCAACGGATCGGGGCGAAAAATCAGCACCCACACGGGGCACGCATGGGCCGCGGCGAGAACGCGGGAGCGGTTATACTCGTGTTGTCAATGGTGAAGAAATATAGCCATTTCGCGAACTGCACCGTGATGGACAGCGGGAACACGGCGAAGGCGATTCCCACCACGACAAACAGGAGAAACAGCAGTTATGCTCAATCTCACAAACACCTACCGCTCTTTTGTCATCGTTGTTTTGGCTGTTCCGACATATGTTTTCCGGGGCAAGTTCAAGCTTGAAGGTACCGTGACGCACAAGCTACTACTTCTTTGCAGTATACCGCTTGCACTATCGCGAAACAACACTGCACAAAGACCAAGCACGCTGCCAGAAAACACAGCACCAGCGAGAAAAAAATACAAAACAACAACGATGACACTCTGGTTTGAGGCACATCGATTGACAGACCCTGCGACCGATCGCGCAGCATGACAGACGAAAAGCACAAAACAACAAAATGTGTGTTGTGTGAAATAAGCATCGACCGCGCTGGTCGGCTGGCCAATGAAAATGCGTATTGTGGGTGCGTGAGTGCGTACCGTGCGTGCGCTTGCTCACATGGGGATCTCCGGGTAGCACTCCGTGAGCGCGTCGCAGATGACCTTGTTTGCCGCGAGGTCGGCCTTCGTCAGGGGGGAGTTGTCCTTGGTCTTGATCTGCACGTCCCAATCCTGCAAAACGAAAAAGCAGAACACCGACAAGACATGAAGCGTCATATCGGGTCTGAGAAAAAAAAAGGTGGAGCTGGAGAGAGGAAAACCTCTTGGCGAACCCCCGCGCGTTAGGTCCCATGTTGTGCATGGGTAGGCCCGGCAATTAGACACGGGTTCATCCAAGGGCGGAGCGTTTGGGGCGGAAGGTAAAGGCCGACAGCGCTCGAATGGATGCAGGACTCACGTTTGATGGCCTGGCCAGGTTTCCGACTTTGTTTGTGCCTGCGAAGCAACACAGGCTTGCAAACCTTACGCTGGGCTGGTTGAGGGTGGGTCACCAAGCACCAACGCTCGCAACCGATTTTCGAACAACAGAGCACCATGCTTCTCGACCTTCGCCATCGTAGTATGGGGAGAGTTCTGAAGGAAAGTTAATCGTGGTCGCACCCTCTCCCTGCTGCAAAGAAACCAGCTATGGATATCGCCCGCGTCCCCCCGAATGAGTTTACGGCGACACAGGAGACAAAACGGTAGTCAACTTCCGCCAAAAAGAAGGAAGAGGAGTAACGGCAAAGCGTTGCTTCACGTATATCGCATATACGACACAAAAGAATTGAGCCCGCGCATGGGGTGTCTTGTCAGATGTAGGAAAAAACGTTAATCCTTTTCGTTTTCGAGAACCAAATTCAATGGCCAAAGGTATAAAACTAGCAAGAAGAGAGAAGAGAAGAGGTGGGGATTCGCCCAACCGCCTCACGGGCGCCCACACCTTGGCAATTTCAACGTGGTTTCAAAACACCTTGGTCACCCTGCAACGAGCAATTCCGTAATCAACTCGAACGTGTTTTTTCTGGCTTTTCGGCCGTGCACGTAAAAAATCTGCGGTGGCGGAGAAGCGTTCCATTCTTACTGTCGTTCAGTAAGCGGCGGTCATTCTCCGTGTGGAAGCGGTGCGCTACTACGGAGTAGGACGGTGCTGGGATTACCATGAAAACACAGCAAATTGTTCGCACGTAATCAGCGACAAAAACAGGAGCAGCAGCTACAGCAACGCCCGTGGAACAGGAATAGCAGCCGATGACGACGTCGACGGCAACAGCACCACCACCACCACAAACAACACGTGAAACAGTGCTACTTCTACAAAACAGCCGACAGAGACGAAGGCAACAACACCAACAACTGCTAGTATGCATAGCAACCAGGATGACAACATACATACGTACTTCATACATAAAGACATACTGGCACAGCAGTTTTGTACACACCTTGGCGTCCTCGGTGTAGACCTGCATGATCGCGGCACCCGCCGACCGCACGACATCCACGACCTTCTGCACGTCGACCGTGGTCTTGCCGCAGGCGTAGGTCATCGCCATGTTCACTCCGACTCTGCTCAAGACACGAATCTTGCAACCCTTTTATTGTTGCTTGTTTCGGGATCTCTGCTCCCGCTGCCGCTGTCGCTTGGTATAGGTCGACTCTCTGCGGTGCGGCAGCACGGGGGAAGGGGGGAGGGACCGGATGGATGGTTCACAGTTCACCACCATATTTTATTGCGCGATCATGGCGACCGTAAAACAAAAACAAAAACAACATTACTTGCTGCGCGTATTTTAATTCTCTGGCGTCCTGCGGGGCAGAATCGAACCTAAAAAAAAAGAGACAACAGATGCATACCTGCACCCTGAATGACGTGTGTATGCAGATTAGCTACTGTAGGGCGGAGTTCTGTGTATGTGAGCAGAAAGCAACAGGGAACCTGCACAGGAAATTCTTTCAAGTGGTGCAGGACACGCGTGGTGTGTCCGGTTGCAATATGCGAAAACTCAGTGAGAGGTGAGAGGTAGGACAAATATATATTGTCGGCACTTGCACTTGGCCGGCGTGGCATCTACGGCATCATGTGTAAGCACGAATGTCAACGTCTGCTCTGCTGTGTGAAGTACTGCTGAATTTACAAGCTCGGTCAAAGCCATGGCCTCGCCTCACCACATGCACTACTGCTGTGTACCACAACCATAGTTTTTCAACCAATACGATGCAACGGAGTATCTGCGATCACGTTATTCGAGGCCAAATCTGTGATAAGAAATGCAAAGCAAAACGAGATCATTGCGTTACTGCTGTAGCGTTCTGGGTGTACCGACAACAGTACCAGCCCAAGCAGTGCTTTTAGCTCAGTTCAAATGTACGCATGCGGATCACTGCTACGAAGTTCTCCGGGGTATTTTCTTTCTGCCGATCTTCACCCTCGCCTCTGTGACACAAGGTGAAAAAGATAGAACGAGAGAGAGAGAGAGAGAGAGAGAGAGAGAGAGAGAGAGAGAGAGAGAGAGAGAGAGAGAGAGAGAGAGACTGTCGGCCGACTTCACGAATGACGCGTTTCCAGCTACTAACGGTGTAGCGGCTGTCTTCCGGAGAGACGTGCAGGTTGCATCCCGCCACGGCGGTTCACTGCGTATTTACAAGTGTTCACGGCTACAGCAGTGGTATAAGCAGTAGATACAGAGGCCGACAGCACCTCCCAACCTTTAGTTGCCGGTAAAATCGAGGTGGAATGCGCAGCATGCCTCTGGCCACCTGTTTTGGGCATGCCTATCCACTTACTACCACACAGACGCTTATTCGCGAACCCACTGGAACATCAGTGTCCTGTGGATACTAGAATGCGGCAGCCGGGGATATATCCTGGTGTGTGATGCGGAGCAGCGAGCAAGGTGACCTGGGGATTATGTGCTGGATTTCGCCATACGAAAAGCCTCCCCATCTATATGTACAGCGGACCACTCAAACAGCGGAGGTTGTCCACCAATAGACAGGTTGTCAGGTGTGCTGTACCCTAGCACCCCGATAGACGCCCGTAGCTGTAGCCCCGACACCGGCGTGCACGGCTTTCGAAAACACACAGGATGTCGAGCTATTCCATCACACTTTTGCAGCGTCACGGATAAAAGGAAAGGGCGACCTAGATTGCCTCCATCCATCTTCAGCCTCACCCATCACTAGGAGGTGCTGGCGGCAGGCAAATTGTTGGTTCAGCACTCCTTTCGGTGAAGTGTCAGGTCTTTGTGGCACGCCAAAACGGTGCGAGTCAATAGAGGAGAAGGGGAGCGTGCGGATCAACAGCAGCGCAGCACCCCAACAGCTGGCACAGGCTGGCTGTAAACGAGCAATTGCTGCTGCAGATGCTTCTCTCCCCGCGACATGCCAGCAAGCGACCCAAACATCAAGACAACAGTGGCGGAGATCCACACCTTTTCCGCCTCTGCCCACCTGCTTCTCAAATGTGCTCCGGCGTCGGTGTGCGTGCTGTGTGCTGCTCTTTGGGTGTGAGAAGATAACAGGTAGCAAGTGACAGGTTCTCCATTCTCCGCGTTCTCCGCCGACCTGAGAAAAATCGTTCCCGCCGCATCAGATCTCCGTCGGAGATACCGTTGGTCATTTTCCGCTCGTGCCCACATCTTGCTTCACACTTACGCGCTCGCTCGCTCGTGCTTGGCCGCTTGGTTCTATCACACGTCGGCAGCAGTAGCAACGAGAACAGCAGGGGCAGCAACAGCAGGACTAGCAAGAGCCTATTCCCAGCTGGCGTGTGTGTGCCTCTGGCCGCGGGGAAGCAACCTGAGAGGACTTTCGGATTTGTTGCCGTTATACAGCACGTCATTGGGTCGACGAGCGAGAGAGAGGAATGTTCGTGCCTCCGTCCCCTTCGCAGGCGGGAGACACCCCTGGCACTGTACGGCGGCTCGCGTCCGCCCTATCCGGACAGCGAGATACGATTGACGTCAACAGCAGCAGCAGCAGCAGCAGTGGCGAATCAGCAGCACCGTCGGCACGCGATTTGGGCAGGATGGCCGACAATCGAAAAGGTGCCGGGGAAGGAACCGGTTCTGGTGGTGGTGCGGCAGACGACCGCACCGGTCAGGCGCCGGCAGCGGCGCTCACCGACGACAGGAGGCCTGCTCCGATCAGCTTGAATGAGGCGGCGCAGGTAGGAGCTTGCGCTGTGTGGGGGTGTGCCCTCTGGCGAATCGCGCTGCTTGATCGTGTGTACCACTCACTCTCCACCAAAAGGGGTGTCCGTTTTCCCACAACGGTTCCCCTGGACTGCCCCTACAACACAACGGAGAGACCTACCCGTTTGTTGAAGACACTTCCTCCCTACTTGCGTGTTGTATGATACGCGTAATGCCGTCGATATCAGTAGACACGAAAAACATTCTGCCTCACCCACCGTGAAACGCGCCTCGCGTGTGTCTCGTGGCACCTTACTAGACAACAGCTGTAGGTGCTGCCTAGCCTGACCTGTGTATCTATCGCCGTGAAGACAAAAAATATCGTTTCTGTACCCTTCCCCCACCGGTGCCGCCCTCTTGCTGTTTCCCAACAATTCGACGGCGTCAACAGGTTCTCAATGGAGATGACTGGCGGTCCAAGGCGATGGCGCTTCGGCAGCTCCAGGACCAGCTGGCAGCGGTGGAGGGAGGAGGGGGGATCGACGCCCAGGACTCTCGCGCTCTGGTGCCCTTCATGGTACGAAGAACACCGTGACGTATGTGTGTCTATGGCGTATCCATGGAAGGTCAAAACCGCCGGCCAAACGGCCGTACCGCGGCCGTGCTTATCATCAGTAGCCAGTACATGCCTTTTCCCAGCTCCACGGGTAACGTGAAGAAATTTAGTTACGGAACGTTGATAGCGAGTGTGCCAAGTGCTAGGGGGGGGGGGTTGATGCCGTGCAGGCGATCGCTCAAGCATGCCGACTCCTGTGCTACGTCGGACTTGTGTCGTCCCCTGATATTCTGGGTGTCAGTCTTTTACACTCGACGATTTTCGCCCTCTTGGGGTAAATTATTTTCTGGACGAGCTAGACCGGGTCACAGGAGGAAAAAGCCAAATAGGACTCTTTTTTTTTTGTCGTTGTATCTCCACCTTCCCTCGTGCGGTACCCGCTTTCATTTCGTCACTTCGCCGCAAGAAGGATCCAGCCGTTCCTTTCCTCGCCGGCACCGTGAAGGAGGCGTGCTTCCGATCATTCGTGTGTTGCGACGGTTGCTATTTCTGGGTGGCGATCTAACATTACCCGCTCTCTAGTATTCGAGCCGTCTGTACTACTTGGAGTATGAGTTGACTGAGAGGCGCGTGGTCAAGGGTCTTAGCATCAAGGAGAATACCCACAACAAGTGTACCGTCGACCACCTCTGATTCACGTACCCCCCCCCCCCGCAACCATAGGAATCGCTGGCACTCGTGTGCCACGCTCTAACGGATACCCGGGCCGAAGTTCCCGGGGCGGCTCGAGTTACGCAGCTGGTCTGCGCGGTCGTCTCCGGGCTGGCGAAGGCGGTGGGGTCGGGCTTCTGCGCTCCTGCGGCGGCCATTATCCCCGCGCTGCTGCCGTTCTTGAGCACGCCCAGGGAGGTGAGAGAAAGATAATCTCCGTTTTTCCTTGTTTCTTTGTTGTGATTTCGATTTTCCTCTCTCCGTGTGTGTTTCGTTCTTATTAGCATCGACCGCGCTAACCGGCTGACCAATGAAAAGACGTCAGTCTTGTGGTTGCGAACACAAAATGTTTCTGAAGGCCACAACCGGTTCTCTCTCGGTTTTATTTGTTGTTGCTTAACAGACTTGTTCTTGTTTTTGCCCGCTGCAGCTGTCCGTGCGGGCGGAAAACAGCAATGGTGAAACCACGTAGGGCGGATGCCAAAATAAGAAGGGCAAGTACACCTCATCACCTGGCCATTGCACTCCTGACACTGCCCCCATCTGAGGGCCTGGGAGCAACCTACAATAACCCAAGCCACGTGTCCCCCTCCCCCCCCCGCCGTGTCTTCTCTTTCCGCGGTTTCTTGTTGATGTTCAGGCGGTGCAGGAGGCGGCGGTGGGGAGCGTTGAGGTCATGCTGGCGGAGTGCCCCTCTCCCAGTGTTCTGCGGGCGGCCACCGTGTCTCTGGTCGGCTCCAAGAAAGGTGAACAATAAGGGGTGGCGCTGCAGTTTGGAACCTCAACAATAAGAGGAGCGTCTGGGAAGAGTATCACCGGTGGGGATAGGGATTCGTAGAGGACTTCTGCCGGGGGGGTGGTATCCAAGTTGGAATGTATCTATCCCTGTTATTGTGCAGGTTGAATAGCGCAGGTGTCCGGTATTGTGCCCGTGTTTTAGGCTCGCACACACTGAACCGCCAAGCCGTTCTGTACATTGAATAGTGCAGATGTCCGGTATTGTGCAGGAAAAACATCTGGACACACCCCGGCATTATAGAGGGACCAGTACTGTACCGATTCATCCCCCCTTCCCCTCGACGCTGTTTTTATTTTTTCAGCGTGTCTGCGGCGCAAGGGATCGGGCTTCTTGTGCGTCGCTATCGAGCGCTGGCCGCGGGATGCTCTCCGGACCACCCTGCCGCCGATCATGGGGCAGATGCGGAAGGCCCTCTTCGATGCCGATGCCACCGTTAGGCGCGAGGGGCGGCACACGTTCGGAGAGTTCATCCGCCTGTGGTGAGGAGTTATTATTCGTGCAGGCTGTTATAGGGTGCTTGGGAGAGAGGAGTAGAGATCGAGAAATGTGACGGGGTGCGTGAGAGGGATATTTTCGAAATGGGTACCTGTGTATCTGTACTTGTGTGTACAGAGGAAGAGAAAGGAAATGATGTGGACCGGGGTAGACATGATCGAGTTGACTGGCTGCTCTGCTGAGTTGCGTGACGCGCGCACAACAGTGTCGTGGGCGTGGTTTCGACGTTTTCCGACATGCGCGGAACACGACCACTCAATTTTCGGCCAGGCTCGGCCTCGGGGTGTACATTCGTCCGGCCTACAATCGACATTTCCATCCCATCCAACAGCCCGCTTTGGGTTCAAGTCAGATGTCGCAGACAATCGCTTGCAGAGGAACACAGATTGAACCGGCTTGAATGATCGGAAGCAATACACTTACAGAAGACTACAGGTTGAATGCACACGGTCGCAGTTCCTTGGCTCCTCCCCGCATTGTTTCATCTCATTTCTCCCGCCTGACCCGGTGCGTCTTAAACTCCCCAGGCCGGCCGAGGGGGGAGGCATGTACCACGCCCTGGACCGAGCGAACCAGAGGGCCGTGTTGCAGGAGCAGCCGCACGTGTCCAACTTTATCGCCGGCAAGACCTCCAAGGACGGTGGTCCCAGCTCTAGCGCCCCCGCCGCCGCCGCCCCCGCCGCCGTTGGTGGTGGTGGTGGTGGTGGTGGTGGCTGTGCTGCTGGCGCTGCCGCCCCTGCCGAGTCAATGTCCGCTTCCTCTAGTGCTGCGTCTTCTTCCACTCTCACCGCTCATGCTGATACGACGGCAGAGGCCTCTGCTGCTGATGCGGCGGCGGCGGCGGCGGCGTCCGCGGCCACTCGGATGGTGATGGCCACGGGTAGGGGAGGGGGGGGAGGGCAGCGGCCCGCGGGGGTGACCCAGGCGCAACACCGCAGCCTCGTGGCCCTGAAGGTGGAGCGAGACAGGAGGCTGAAGGACCAGCAACGACTCGCCACCGCAGGCGTAGCGAAGTCTGCGGCAGCGCCTTCATCATCTTCGTCGTCTGCTAGCGGGCTCGCGCGCGGCGGTGGCGGCGGCGGCGGCGGCGGTTTAAGCCGAGTCCTGACAGATGCTGGGGATGGCGGTGGCGGGGGCATCTCTCTGTCGCGCATCCCCGCTGCCATGAGCGCCAGCGCGCCGTGCAGCCCTGCCTCAAAGGCCTCCGCCGCAACCACCGCTGCCGGTGGTGGCACTCGTTTCGGCCTTCGCTCTCCTGCTGGCAGCGGCAGCGGTGCCTCGCAGATACCCTCGCCGCCGTCCTCGTCGTGTTCGGACGGGCTCCGACGCGCGGCGCGGCTTGCCCTTCGGAAGAAAGACCTCATGTCGCCCACGCTGAAGCGGCTGCTTCAGGACCCGTCGCAGCTGCAGACGGCGGCGGGTCGGGCAGGCGGAGACGAGACTCGGGATGAGGGGGCGTACGTCGGTTCCCCCGACGTCGGTTCCCCCGGCAGCGAGGAGTCGGAGCTGGGCAAGGAAGACTACGGCCGTGTTGGAGGTGCCGGCAGCGGTGGCCGGATGACCCCCTCGGAGCTGCGCGGGTCGACGAGCTGGACCTTGCCTTTCACCGCCAGGAGCGACAGCGTTGGCGGCGACGGTAGCGATGCCTGCTTGAGCAGCTGCAGCAGCAGCAACAGTGGCAGCGACGACGAGGAGCAGGAACTGGACTGCGGCGGGACGGCGAGACTGAAGAGAATGAAGCTGCCCAACCGAAAGCTCTTCCGGCCTGAGGTTGAGCAGCAGGAGGAGGAGGAACAGCTGAGGGCGCAGCAGCAGTCCCCGAAGCAGCAGCGGACATCGGCGATCGCCCGCGCCGCCGCCACCGCCTCCGCCGCTAGGTACGCCGCCCTCGAGATGAAGCCGCCGCCGCCCCGCGCGCCTACGGCGGCGAAAGCATCAGCGGCGGCGGGCGGCGACGGCCTCTCGTGGCCATCCTCCTCCCCCCACTGCGGCGGCAGTAAATCGGTCAGCTGCACCCCGACCAAGGGCATCCTGTCGGGCGGGTTTGGCAAGGGGGTGGCGGCGACGGAGGGCACCAGCACCGCGAAGCGCAGGGTGCGGTTTGAGATGGAGGAGGCAGAGCGCATGGCGGCGGAGGAGGCGTGCCTGGCCTCCCCGTGCCGGTCGTCGTCCTCGCTGAGCCCCGGCTGGGGGGGTTCGAGGGCGGCGAGCGCCAGCGAGGAGGGCGGCGGCGGCGGCGGAGGAGGAGAGCGGCGGGGGAGGTGGTCGGCGTGGCTTCGCCCGTTCGTGGTGTCGGCCTTGGCCGTGGCGGTGTCCGTAGGCGCGGTCGCTTTCCTAGGCGGCGAGGGTCAAGGCAAGGCGCCGGGCCCCGTACCCGCCGGGTCGTACTCGCCTGCTCGGCTCCTCCCGTGGTTGGAGGAGCAGCCGCAGGATCTCTTCTGCCCGGTTGCTGCCGCCGTCGAGCCGGTGACGGCCGAGAGAAGGACGGACGGCGGTAACGTCGTCGGACCGGTGGAGGGAGAAGCTGCGGGAGTGCTTGCCGAACGCGACGAGCTCGCAGAGGAGGAGGAGGAGGGGGGGGGGGAGGAGGCAGCGAGTGCCGTTTTCGAAGATGATGCGGCCGTGGGCTCGAGCGGGAAGGTCGTTGAAGCTGGCGCGGAGGAGGTAAAGCGCGACGGCGATGAGGAGCAGCAGCAGCAGCAACACGAGCAAGAGATACCTCTCGAGGAGGAAGAGAATGAGGACGGCCAGGAAGATCTCCCCGCCGCCGCCGCCGCTGCCGTCGCCGCCGCCGCCGCCCCCGAAGCGGTGACGGCCGATGATGGACAACAACAACAAGAACAGGCTCCCCCCGCCCCGCATCATTACCACCAACACTACCCGGAAGAGGCCGAAGGAGCTTCCGCCGATTCCGCCGCCGCGGTCCGGAGCAGCGCAACCGTAACCCGACCCAAGTACCGGTCCCCGGTTTCTCCCGCTCCCGCCCCCGCCCCCGCCCCCGCGCCTGCCTCGATGTGGGGCTGGTTCGAAGTTGGAGCGGCCGTTTTCGGTGCGTTGGCGCTCCTGGCCGCCGTGGCGTGGCGGAGCTTGGGCGGGGGTGGTGTGGAGGACTGCGGGGAGTTCGACGGCGGCGGAGGCGAGGCGCCTGCCACCCCGACCCACGGGGGTGACGGCGGAGGCGAGACGCTCGGCCGTTACCAGACGGTGGAGCTGGTCAAGAAGGGGGACACGCCGGCGACGCTGCGGTCGGTGAAGCGGTCGTACAGGATCGGTTCCTCTCAGGTGATGTTGCGTGGTGCATGCATGCAGTACAATACTCGATTTTTGAAGACGAATTTTCCGAAGATCATTGTCTTGTTATTCGCTCAGAAGTACAGCAGGCAGCACGCCGATTTGTTTATTGGAGCCTGTGATCCTGCGGAATTTTGAGGTTTTACGTTCTAAGTTTTTCTTCCTTGCCCATTTCAGACATCAAGCAGGCGCTCGTTTCCCGCCGGCTCACGCGAAGGAAGCCCCCCCAGTGCTCATGTCTTAACGGGGCGTGTTGTTATTACCATGCACTGCTATTATTTTCGAGCGATGTCAGTTGTGGAAAATATCTACTCTACTGACACTTGATTGTGCCCCCCCGTATAGCCTCCGGCGGCCGGAATGATGCACTTGCTGCTCCATATCCTCATGGGTCTGTGGTAATCTGTTCACATGTTTACAAGAAGAAGTCTACTCCGTACAATCTGTGTGGTGTGAGTCTTAGACGCCCGTTTCTTGTTTCCAACAAGCACAGGAGCAGGCCATGGGGCCAAAAACACCACCATGTACCGCCACCAACTTAGAAGTCAGCGTATCACCAAAAAAACGCGTTTGGCACTACATGCGGCGAAGGCAATCTAGATCTTTGACACGGACGCTCGCTGCTCTTCCGCTGTGGCCTACAACTCCCTCGTAACTGACCCCCTATGAACGTTTTCTCTTCTTATTTATTGTCCATCTCTTTGTCGATCTTTCACTTGCATTCAGGCTTCTCCCAGGTCGGGTACGATGATCATGGACCTCGGGCCTGCGGCGCTTGACATGTCCAGCACGTGAGGGGGAGCCGGCGGCCCGTCTAGGACATGCTACCTATATATAGCAGCAACAAAGTAGGGTGGGGGGGGGTTTACTAATAGCCGTAATGGTTAGATCATTGAACTTGCGTTCAAAATGATAGGGGGGCTCGGTAGCGGAGCGGTCTATCGCTTCTGGCGGGGATGCGTTGTCGTGTGCAGGCGATGGCTGTGGCCTCCCGGAACCGGCGGAATTTGCGATTTGTCGGACAGGCCACTCGGCAGAGCCATGGAAGTGATTTGTTTGGATCCGGGAAGTCCAGGGGTGTGTGTAGGGCTCGTTGGACAAGGTTGAGTAGGGGGGAAGGAGCAGAATAAGTTGGTTGAAGTGGACTTTGTCGAGGCAAGTAAAGCTTGTTGTGGATTCGTGGAGGACGAAAGAGAAGTGGCAGGCTTTTGGTTCGGCGCTCAAGTATATTGATGCCACTTTCATGAAGGCGGCGTGTTTGTTCGGGCAACTCCCGCCAACGACCACGGCATAAGAGATTTCGGCCGATGCCACTCGCATGGCGGGAGGGGACGAGGTAGGTTCATACTAGATCGCAGGCAAGGGAACGCAAGCGGTTTCATAGCGTATTGTTGGGGGGAGTTTTCTGTTTTGGGTGTGGCGTGTTTTTTGGTGGGAACGGGAGCAGGTTCCACTGATTTGGTCACCCATTTGTTTGCTGTAAATGCATTGTATGGTTCGGTACTATTTTCGAGTAGTTTTCCCGAGGGGTGTTGTTTACGACCCTTGTCATTGCTTTTTGGGGTATACCGCACCGAGATTCGTGTTTTCAGTGGAAAGCCGCCTTGAAGCTTGGATGGTAATAGTGGGCTTGGAGGAGACCGGGGCGGGTGTAGGTAGTCTAGATGTCTGTAGAGAGGTTGTGCTAAGTCAGCTATTTTTTGCGTATTCTCTTGCCAACCGTATGGTTCAGACCATCTGACGATATCATAGAAGTAGAATTGTGAGCTTTTGTTTTTGGCGCGTGTTCTGGTGTTCTCTGAGGGACGACCTGGGTTTTTTTACGGAGCATGCTGCATTGTTCCTGTTCCCAAACGGGTGCGGGGGTAGTCTGACATGTATATCACCGTGATGGTCTTCACAGGTTTTCTATGCATTCTCAATATTTTTCAGGGTGATGGGATGATTGATGCGTCAAGGCTTTTCGCATCAGATCGACAGCTCGTCCTTGGTTTGTTCTGGGGCGCACCCGTTGTCGTTTCTGTTTCGTCGGAAGAGTTTGTGGGGCGAAATGTCTGCCGCATTTAGAGCAGCCACTTGATAAATTCGCTGTTGCCGGCCACCACTTTGGAAGTTGGCAGTTAACGTATCCAGAGTCTAATCCTTTGGAACATCCTGACGGAAACATACGAAGTAATAACCGATGACTGCAGTAGTAACTGTTGATAATTTGCAGAGGAGACAAGCGCCGCAAAGTTACTGTATTTCTTGACATGTTCGTTGCTGTTCTCCACGCTGGTTTAGTGCATGGGTACAAGGCACAGACATGGGTGTATACGGTATTTATTGGCAAGGGTATATGTTGCTTGTATCGAAATTGGCACTTGGCCGATCATGGCTATAATAAGACATGATCGGCAAGGGGTATGCTTTTGATCGGGAAGGATGGCATGAAAATTTCCGATGTACGTAGTAAGCGATAATGAGGCTCTCGCAAGCGCTTTTCTTTTTGGCGGGAGCACGCCAGCGGAATACCGGCGGGATTGAATTGAAGTAAAGAGATTGGAGAGATGATGCGTAAAACTGCCGTCATGCAACAACGGGACGTGTCTGGCGATCCCCTGTAGTATGGTGTTTTACGTTGCTTGGCGTCGGCCTTGTTGTTCGCTTGATAAATGTACCGTTTGTCTGCTCGGTACAGCGTGGTTTTTTCATATTGATGATCACGTGTTGTTGTACGCAATTCCCTTTGGTTTGATTTTTTCATTTCCATACGAGCCACAAGAAAAGACACTGAACCGTTCATTCGTTCACTCCTGTCTCCCGTAGGTCGCAAGAGTTTCTAGAAGTCAGCGAGCGTGACATGCGTGGGCCGAGATTTCGTTCGCGACTACTCAATCACATGTGCGTGGCATTAGTTTTGATAGTAAGGTGCATGTGTTGTCTACGTTTTCCATCTAGCATGTCGAGACTTCCCATGCGATTCTAGGCGTCTTGTGATACGCGAATGAAATCACGATTGAGCGAACCTCATTCGCAGCGAGTACACTTCTTCAAGGCGATGGCCTTGCTTAACGGGACTGGTGGATTTAAGATGCGCTCAGTAGCATAATCCTGCGATCTTTATTCCGCGAAGTATGATGAGGCTCTGGTAGCAGCTTGAGTGCCCACCCAATCCTTTCGGTGCAGCCCAAGTGGAGCACTTCCGCAACAACTCGTACACTACAATTATACATTTCACCACAATGTCTGGGCGACTAACCAAACGGAGAGGAATTCACACAAACGCCTACTGCGTTCCACAGGTGGAGATCGACCCCCTTCTCCCCTTTCGAGGCCTTGGTTGTGTTCCCCAAGGTGTCCGACCTTGACAAGGTAGGTCTCCACAAGGGAGCGCGGGCACTCGATATATTGGGAGGCGGGTTGACCTCCACCTGTCTGTGCGACATCGCATAGGTTTGGTAACATCATGGGCATCTCTGTGCCAACCAACTAAGTCACCTGCTGGGAAACCCGATTCATTCGCACTCTACACCTCCTGCAAAAAGCAACAACAGTGAAACCTTGGTGGTGGCGAACGGCGACACCAACCCAAGAGCCGTCACTCCCCCGTCAAACATTACGGCCCATACACCTTTCTCCACAATATAGCAACAGCAGTGCCTTCGAGCGTTCGGACTGCACGTACGTGTTATCATTTGCTACCGTTGTCCAGAGGTGAAATGCAACCGGATTGGAGGGAGAATGGCGAATGTTTGTGACGAGAGTGAAAGTGAGTCAAAATCATTACATAATAGCTGGTCAATTCTTGTCAATACCGTGTCTCTCCCCCCCTCCATATTCTGCCCACTGAGTAACTGCGCCGTATCATACAAGTCGTGCGCCGGCCGTCTCAACCGTCCTCTGAGATCTGAACGAAAAAATCGAAATCACTGCCGCCACCTCCTGACCCTGTAGGTACCACTTTTGTTTTCTCAAGAAAATCACGGTCATCGACAAATCAGGCTTCGCAACGGATGAACTCGGTGGCCTTAGCCTAGTCGGTCGTCGGCACGAAGCACGCCACTGACCACCGCACCCACTCTTCCTTGTGCCATAGCTTGAAGTTGTCGTCGTCCTTCCAGACGACGTCGAAAATCTCCCAGGAACAGGTGACAGGCACCGGACTGTCCCAGACCACCCATTCTTGCGGCTGGTCGGGCCCCACGAAATAGGTCATGTGGTTGTGATGGGCTCCACTGTGGAGGCGGCTTTTTCCCGGGGAGCCCGAGATTGTCCAGCACGAGGCGTTGCTCGCCTTGGTTGCCCACGCGTTTGGGAACTGGATGGTATCGCCCCCATATTGGTAGGTGAGACGGTATGAGGACGAGGGGGGGACACCCGGTGCGAGTTGAGTAAGCTTTTCGCGACCCATCTCTCTCTCTCCCTCTCTCTCTCTCTCTCCCCTTTCACGGGAAAGGCATTTTTGCACTCATGCCTGTCCTCATCACCTTAGCAGCGAACCGTCTCAACCAATGCCGACCCATTGCACGGCAGCCGTGCTGTAGATTGGGTGCTAGCATTGCAGAAGTTTTAGCTGTGCCTCGTGAGTTCGAGGGCGTCAGCACGCTGTGCTTTCACTTTTTGATCTGTACCCCTGTTAGAGGTACTGCAAACGTTTTCGATGGAAACCTCTCCGGTGTTTTAACTACGGAATCCCAGTAACATTGGTTTGGGGGTCTCCAAAGAGGTTCTACAACCTTTTGCCGGAAACACGTCTCCTTTCCCCGCTGGTCAGCGTTGGAGCCAGCTGATGTATGTAAGACGAGTTGCTTTTGCTTCTCTTGCTTCTCACGTTGAGCCCGGATAAGGTGGGGGTATATTTCCAACACCAGTCTCTCAAATTCGATGCATCGCCCTCGTTCAGGGCGTCCAAACGAAGCGATCAAAACCACTATGCAGATCGTGGCTGATTAAAAAACAACGATCGAATACTTTGGTGACACGAGGAGTGCGAAGTCGGATCGATGGAGGTCTCTGGGGACCTTCTTGTCCGCAGCGAAGTTAGTTGATCGGGGAGCAGAAAAGGTCTGAGATAAAAGGGCATCAACAAGCCATAGAGTGGTTACCTCTTTGGTTGAAAAGCAGGAATTCTCGTCCGTGGCCTCCAAGATGCTCGATCCGTCCGCGGAAAGGACGCGATAGGTTTTTTCGGCCGCAAACAGCTTCTTCTTGATGTTATTCCAGCCGCTCACAGATTTGTCGCCATCCTTAGGGCGATGAAGGGAAGGCTGACAAGCAAGAAACTGCCCGCCGACAGAGGTGCGCACGCGAGGAGGGTCATTTTCGAGTGAAGGAATCAAGGAAGGGGATCGACTACTTGCAGCCGTTTACTAGGTAGAGGAAATCAGAGCTCTGTGGCTTCTCCGGTCCCTTCGACGGCAGCGAAGTTGCGGAAACGTAGAGAAGTAGAATGTGTTCGCCCCTTGAATGTGTTCGCCCCTTCCTGAAATGTGTCTTCTTGTGTCCCAAAGGAGCGATGGCCCTTCAAGAACGGTGGTAGAATGATGGTGCAGATACCCCGATGTACGAAAGAGCCAGCACGTATTGAGGAGAGTGTTCCGCAAAGGCAGGGCTCAGTCAACCTCCGAGGCCTACCCTCTACAACGATTCAGCACAAGACAACCAGCTTGGTCGCATCAAACGGGAATAACAATCAACCTCGGATAATGAATCGTATGAAGTAAAACTCGCGTGAGAACACAGAAAGCACATCGGTGCTGGGCGTTCGAAACACAGATGCTACGAGAGATAAAGAGACAGACGCTGCTGGCATT